ATTTGTATAAATAACTGCGGATAAACATAATCAAATAGAAAATGAACAACTCATTTTAAAATATAAAAAATCTAAGATATAATTAGAATAATTATCGAGTTCCAACAAATAAATAATTATTATCTTTATAAAAAAGTTATATTATTAAATCAAATATGAATTACTTCGTTATTGTACATAAATTAATTTATTAAAAAATTGAATTAAAAAATTACCCAAAAAATGAGGAATTTCAAATAGTTAATTTGATACTAATATCGATATATTTTTGTCAAATTTTTATGATATATTCAAACATATATTTTATTCAAAAATAAAAACATCATCGTTTTTTCAAAATCACATAAAGCCATATTATAACATCAGCTAAGATAAAGAATAAAATGAAATATTAAAATCACGATGTATCTCGCTGCATTGCGCGAGTATGCTTCTAGTTTTAACTAATTGTTGATATATTTTCATTTTTAAATTCAAGTCTGAAGAGTCATTTTTCAGAGTTATTCTTCGGAATTATTTCAAGGATACAAGTTTGAAATAGTATCGTACTTTCAGTGATCATTTATATCTGTAAGATAAGTTCCAGACATGGTTTAATTTTTTCAAATTATCACGTGTAATACATGAGATCGAACCTAGTATATATACATACACATATATATATATATATATATATATATATATACATATATATATATATATATATGTTGGTTATTATACAACCCTTGACATTTGTGCAACCAATACAACTCAATCTCAACCGTCCATTTCATGTGATTTCATAGAAGTTCTGATTGTTTCCTAATATAAAGTATTGATCATAATTAGTGAACCATATTCATTTTTCATAAATATTCAAATCATAATAAATGAACTCTCATCATTTCCATAAATATCTCAATTTATTGGGTTGCATTGGTTGTACAAATACAACGGATTGTATTTGAAACAAACTATCTCTCTCTCTCTCTCTCTCTATATATATATATATATAGAGAGAGAGAGAGAGAGAGAGAGACTTGGGATCATGTGAGACCAATATTTTTTCGTGAGACCCGTAAGACTAATTCTCAACCCTTGGATTAGATCTACAATCTGACAATCTAAACATTCATAAACGCCACGAGACTTCTCAATAATTACAAAATTGCCACTGTGCAATTAAGACCATTAGATCATTAACTTATAAAGTTGATCAATGAACATAAATTGGTTTTACGGGTCTCACGAAAAACCATTGGTCTCACGTGAACCCAACCCTATAGCTTATAAATAATAAGAAAAATAAACCTCATGTATCTCTTAACTACTTATTAATATATGCTCAAATATAATATCATGTTTCATCAATAAAATCATGACACATCAATTTTTATTTATTTTAATTCACTTTTTATTTTCTAATGAAATAATGCTAATTAGAATAAAAGGTTCAGGATAACATAGAATGTGCATATATTTTTGTCATTTAAGTACGTTTATTTATCATAAACCAATTGATCTTTTATCACCATGCCTCAATTCAAATATTTCTTTATCAACACATATCTTAATCTAGATTTACGTTTTTATCAAATGCGGTGATTCTCAGACCTGGACTATCTGTAAAGCAGGTGGTATTTCGGAAATTAATCGGCTCGCATAGCAGGTTGGATATTGAGGTTAGTCGAAATAAATAAATAAATATATATATAAATTAATAAAATCTTCACTTCATTTTTAATTACACGTTGGAAAAAGAATACATCATTTGGCAAAGGGAAACAGTTTTGGCAATTAAGCTGGCAAAAGGGTTGGTCTAATGTAGCTATCATCTTCATATCTTCGTCCTCACATTCCATAACCCTTCTGAAGAAAAGGAAACTTTGCACAACTTATATTCATTTATTATTCGCTTCAATAACTTCTTCGATTCAAACCTCTTATCTACACATATTTAACTTCAAAGCTTTCATGAAATCTAACTCACTTCTCCTTTACCTAATCTCTGTACCCACATATATATATACACACCTTTGTATGTATATCTTCATCTACTATCATCTTTTCCTCTTCATTCATAGCAAAACACACCACTTTCCGGCAGGAGACATAAAAGATGGCGTCTCATGGCGGTTCCAGCTTCCTTTCCGGCCAAACTGGCCGCCTGCTACTTTTTGCTTTCGGCTTTGTGTTGTTAGTTTCTCTTCAGGCGGAAGCTGCCACCAAGAAGTATCAGTTTGATGTGAGTTCATCCGCAATTTAAATACCACATAACCCTTTTTAATTAATGCTCTCGTTAAGTAGGGATCCACATAAAATTCAGCTTAGAAATTAACTAAACAAGTTGAATAATATATATTTTTCCCAGTTATTATTTCCTAATCATCGTAGTATTATTTATTTATGAACAGGTACAAGTGAATAATGTGAGCAGATTGTGCCATGCGAAACCCATTGTAACCATAAACGGAAGGTTTCCAGGGCCTACTATCTACGCTAGAGAAGGCGATAGAGTTGTCATCAATGTTTCAAATCATGCTCAATATAACATGTCCATTCACTGGTATCTAATATATATAATATATACTTTATAATTCATGATCATCAGGGCGGTTCTAAGATTTTTGATGCCCTGTGCGAAAATAATAATCAATGCCCTTAAGTCTATTTTTTTTAAGTCAATGAAACAACGAAACCTGCGAATTTTTAAAGAGTTTAGAACCTATTCAAAATAAGTATCTCATTCTCATGTTATTTTTATTAATTATAATAAAAAAAATACAAGAGGGGACACAAAAACCAAAACCCTGAATACAAAATAGAAAATGATAAATTCTGGATTAAGATCATGCTTCCTTCTTTTCCAATTTTCCCTTTTCCAAATTGAAATTAGTAAAATAGAAACTTTATTTCAATATATGAGACTTAAAAGACAAGGAAAACTATAATTAGTTTTTAACTAAAATAGTAAATCACATCCAAATTACTATCATAGTAAGCAAAAAGTAAAACTCAAAAGTTACAGGTTTAACGACTAAAGGCTAAAGGTTTATCTGTTAGCAGCTTAGTAAGTTTAATGGAACTAACAACTTATTCGCTCAACTATGCATGACTGTTTCGTAGTGACTTAATGATATAGAAAGTGACTAATCCAGTAAGCTTTTAGGGGGAGCTTTATATAAAAAACCAAGTTTTTTTTTTCAAACATGTCCCTTCCAACTAAAAAAACTCATTACATATGTGAAAAAACTCTCTCAAACAAAAACTTTTCCAACTTATACAAACAAATTAATTCATACAGACAACTTTATACAAATAAAAACTTTTCTAACTTTCCAACTTTTTCCTACGATGTGCATTCAATATTCATCACTACTAGACTTTGGGTCTGTTTTTATTGTTAAAACTCAGTTGTCCAATTCCTAAATTATTAAACTCAAAATTAGTAATAAATGACAACTTGATGCCCCTTTAGGCWTTGATGCCCTGTGCGGCCGCACGGGCTGCACGTGGCCAGGGCCGGCCCTGATGATCATTGAGTTATGCTTCATTGCTATAATCACTAGCTAGGTTTAAATTATAACTTATGTTTAATACTTTGGTTGTTTGGTTTATTAGGCATGGGTTGAAACAATATGCTAACGGATGGGCAGATGGACCGGCATATATAACACAATGTCCCATTCAAACGGGAAATAGTTACGTTTATGACTTCAACGTTACGGGACAAAGAGGGACTTTGTGGTGGCATGCTCATATTTTTTGGCTGCGAGCTACCGTCTATGGTGCCATTGTCATTTTGCCCAAACAAGGAACTCCATATCCATTTCCACAACCCGATAACGAACAAGTCTTGGTGTTTGGTACTGAAATTCTGGCTCTAATTTCATTTTCTCAAATTCTCGAGTTCATTTATTCGAATTGCAAGTCCGGTTTTTTTTCATAAACAACCCCTCTGTCTTTTGGGACATATGTAACATCTGCATACATTTTACACCTTGGGGTTGATATACCTGGTCGATATACATGGTCTGGTCTGGTTTGGTATGGTTTAATCATTTAAATTTTTAGTGGGTGAGTTTGATTCTTTTTGTTTTTAAATGTGCGTGTGATGGATGCAGGAGAATGGTGGCATGGTGATGTTGAGGAGATTGTGAAGAAGGGGAATGCAATGGGATTGCCTCCAAACATGTCGGATGCCCACACCATCAATGGCAAACCTGGTCCCCTCTTTCCCTGTTCGGAAAAACGTAAAAATTATCGTTTATAATTAATTTAACCACAAATTTAATTATTTCGGACTATGTTCTGAAGATCGATCGTTTGTGTTTTTTGATCAGATACCTTTGCCATGGAAGTTGAGCAAGGGAAGAAATACCTTTTGAGGATCGCAAACGCKGCCCTCAACGACGAACTCTTCTTTGCAGTGGCAGGCCACAACATGACGGTGGTCGAAATCGACGCCGTTTATACCAAACCCTTYACCACYTCCGCCATACTAATCKCCCCTGGYCAAACCACCAACGTTTTAGTTTATGCCAACCGTGCTCCAGGACGCTATTTCATGGCGGTCCGACCCTTCCAGGACGTTCCAATTCCGGTCGACAACAAAACCGCCACCGCCATTTTCCAGTACAAAGGCATTCCTGAAACCGTTCTCCCATCACTCCCTCAGTTGCCATCACCAAACGACACCGCATTTGCTTTGAGCTATAACAAGAAGCTCCGGAGCCTCAACACTCGGAACTTCCCGGCAAATGTTCCGTTGAAGGTCGACCGGAAACTTCTTTTCACCGTCGGCTTAGGAAAGAGCGTGTGCCCGACCTGCATCAACGGAACCCGGCTTTCGGCTTCGCTGAACAACATTACATTTGTGATGCCGCAAACCGGGCTTCTCCAAGCTCACTACTGGAACAAGAAAGGGGTGTTTAGCGCCGATTTCCCCGATAAGCCACCAAAAGCCTTCAACTACACGGGTGCACCCTTGACKGCGAACCTTTTCACTTCTMATGGAACCAGACTGAGCAAAATCTCCTTCAATTCAACAGTTGAACTTGTGATCCAAGACACCAATTTACTGAGCGTTGAATCCCATCCGTTTCACCTTCATGGATACAATTTCTTTGTTGTGGGAACAGGCATTGGGAACTTTGATCCGGCTAAGGATCCAGCCAAGTATAACTTGGTGGATCCACCAGAAAGAAACACCGTGGGTGTTCCTACGGGTGGTTGGTCTGCCATTCGCTTCAGAGCCGACAATCCAGGTGTTTGGTTTTTTCACTGTCATCTGGAGCTGCATACTGGTTGGGGATTGAAGACGGCGTTTGTGGTAGAAGATGGGCCGGGAAAAGACCAGGCCGTCCGTCCTCCGCCCAAGGATCTTCCGCCATGCTAACTACACATTATCATTTGTCTTGTAATAAATGAAATGTATATTTGCATGCAAGTGCTCAAGCATTTCTAATTGAAAATGCTTCATTTTTTCGTTCTTTTTCCCAAGTCTCTTGTAATCCATGGATGTTCAACAATGTGGCATCTTGAATTGAAGTAAATAAAATATTTGATTTTAGTTCTGAATTCCAATCGGAATATCTTACTTGTTATGATTTTCGTTAATTAGAAGATGTTTGGTAAAAACAAAAACGTTATGTTCAATGGCGTTTTACAACATTAATTTATTTGACACAAATATTTGTCTTTAGTTATTTTCTGAATTAATTACATGGAGCTTTAGCTTTGTGACATCTCAAATCAATGATTTTTGTAATTTCAATAACCTTTTTGCAAAAATAAGGATTTGTTTATCACGGAAGACACATAGATTTATTCGAAAAATATATCAAACTGTTTAAAAAAGGATCATGTTTGCGTAAAAATGGTCTATAAACCAGTAATCCTCGAGTTTTGCCACACTTGCAAAGATATAATTTACTTATAGTTATAGGCTGGGGGAGGGTCTCCCGTAACACCAATTTCCGACGGATTTGTCCGCCGGAAAAGAGGGTAATTTTGGTAGTGCAAATTGTCCCGGAAGTAGTGGAAAAAAGCTACAAGTAAAGGGGTCACCAAAGGGTTAAAGAAAACAAAATAGAGACGTAGAGTAGCAGCGAAAGTGCTCTTAGGGAAGAAAATGTGTAGGTTCGATCCTTGAGCCTTGTTCATGAAACTTCACAATGTTTAATTTTTTTAATTAAAATAAGCAACTTATAGCTACTCAATCAACAACACTTAATAATCGTTCAGTCAAACCTTGTTCGTTAAGAAGTCATTAAGGTCTATTTTTTTTAATTAAAATTTATTATGGTAAATATTTAGGCCCTATTTGTTTTAATTTCTCATTTCAGCTATTAATCACTTTTTATGTATGATTTAATCCGAAGTTTTAACATTCAGACTGTTTGTTTTTGTTTTATTTTCAGAGCACTTAACACTTAATAAGGTCTGGACAAAATTAAGGTAACCTAATATCTTAAAACTCTCTTATTTCCTTAATACGTTTGCCACAACTCTATCGCCTCATCATCCAAATCAAACACAAATCGAGTGGAAAATGAACCCAGATCGAGTGGAAATCGAACCAAAATCGAATCAAATTGTGAATCTTCAAGGTATTTCATCCCCTCCATATTTCTGTGGTATAATTTTGTCCCCTTCATATTTATGGATTTCTATGGTAAAAATAAAAACTCTAGATTCCTGTGGTATGACTTCGTTCCCTCCAGATTTCTTTGGCATGGTTTTCGTCCAAGTTTTGGCCATTGTTTTTGTCCCTGTTTTGTAGGTTTAGACTACTTTTTACTCCTTTCATGTATCTGTCAAACTCTTTTTTCAAACTTGTATGTTCATGTTTATCGTAGTTTACCTTTAATTTTGCTTCTGTAACTGTTTGTATTATGAATTATGTCGATGGATTTATGCCATTTTCGTCCCTATGCTTTGTGGTATGAAGATAACTTCAAATGTGTTTAGTTGAGTGAATATGGCTCAGAGCATTGTGTGTGTGTGTGTGTGTTCAAGATTCTGAATTAAGGTTATTGATTCAGATTTCAAACTTCAGATTTTTGTCAGTTTACAAAAACAAACAATCTGATTGATTCAAATTTTAAACTTCAGACGTAAAAATAAACAGTCTGACTGATTCAACTTTCAGCATTCAGCACCACCTTTTTATAAATCAGAAGTGAAATCAAACTTCAGCATCTATTAAAAAACAAACACCATCTTAATGTGTTTTTGGTTGCTGTTTTTTAAAGAAAACCTAAAACTTTTAAATCCAACAGTGCTCATCTTGTTTCTTGTGGGTGTGTTTGGTGTCCAGACAGGACAGTATGAGACAGAACATGACATGATAGAACAACTGTTCAACGTTTGATAAGATAAAACTGGACAGAACATAACAAGTAAAATGACCAATTTACCCCTGATGAGTTGTTTATTTTAATTAATTTATGTAATTTATTAAATTATAATATAATAATTATTTTTTATAGCAAAATATATTATTTGAAGTTTTCGTCAAAACAATTAAAATGATACCAAATAAAAAGTTTATGTAATTTCCAATTTTTA